TTTTTTTTTTTTTTTTTTTTTTCTACGAGACATACCGCTCATCGTATATCACGTTAACTCTCCATGTGATTTCTTTATCCCGTTTTGTATATTAACGGACCGGTAAGAATAGCGCGCGCGGAGTCCATTAGTAGCGGTTTATCAAGAAATATAATCGCACGCTTCAATTATACAACCGCGGAAATAACGCGATTTTCATTTCTCCCTCTAGCCTCACGTGATATCATGCTAAGTGATATAAATGATATCATTAATGCGTGATAATTGCTCGCATTTCCGGTGAAAGATTTTTCAGCCAGACGCGTAATAAATCTGAATGTTCGCTGCTGATTAAAAGGCTTATCAGCTGCCTAAAAAATTAATGAAAAATCGAGTGCTAAATTCACAGCAAAATACGAAACCGGAAAGGTACGCATCGATGACCCCCGATATCACCGCGCTTCGCGTCGCGGACGGTCGCGAGGGGAAAAGAATGTTGCCGTCATATTCTCTCTCTCTCTCTCTCTACCGCGGTCGACGATAGCGATCTAGTGGTAACGAGGACTTCCCGTTCTACTTCGACAAAAGTAGAGTCGGCCGCGTAATAATGCGCGCGGTACCGGTAAACGATCACGTACTTCCCGAGCGTACGAACGCACGTCCGTTACGCGTGTTGGAGCGCCGGAGTGATTTGTACGTCGCGTTTCGCCGCGACGAGGCCGCGGACGTATATGCGCACACGTACACACACACACACACACACACACACGGGGGATCTCGTTTCGCCTGATGACTGCGCGTACGCGAAATCCATCCCACGTATCTCATTATTCCGCGCCTGCTCGCGCGCTCATTTAAAGGCGTTACCGTGGCCACGGAGAAGACGGCCTGCCTGAGGTCATCCGGTAGCAAGTGCGAGCACCGCTGCCCGGGCGATCAGGATCCGGTATGCGGCACCGACGGCCGTACCTATCTCAACAAGTGCATGCTCCGGGTGGAGATCTGCCGGGTCGGCATCGAGCTGTCTCACCTCGGGCCGTGCAACAATATTTCGGCCCACCGGGAGAACTGCCCGGTCTCGTGCGACTACGCGCCGCTCGACGGACCGGTCTGCGGAAGCGATGGCAACGTTTACAAGTCCACGTGTCAGATGAAGCTGCTCACTTGCGGGTACGCGAGTCTTCTTTTAAGGATCTGACGAGCTCTGAGAAAGTTGAATTGAAAAAAGCTGCGAAAATCGTGCTTAATCCTCTCAGCCTCGTCGTATCACTTTATAAAAATTTAATTTTATGAATGTTTCATAATAATGAGTGATGTATTCTCTATAACGATAATTCTTTCAACAGGGAGACTCAAAGAATTAATATATTCCCGACGTTCCGCTAAAGTCAAACGTGAGAAAGTGGTTTGTAATTCTTCATTTTTCACGAAAAGCGAGAAATATACAAGTAGATTCAGATAACAAGGAATATTCACGATGAGAAAATTGTTTTTAAAAAAAAAGAATAAAAATGTTTACGATCTCTACATTTCTGTGTCCGTCGCGAGTATGTTAAATTTTATCGCGTAAATATCTCGGGATTTCTTCTCCGCGCGGCAAAATTATATGCGTTGATATCTACCCGCGATATTCGTGACGATATTTTAAACTATGTTTCTCAGATTCTACGCGATTTTACAAATACCATAATTCACTACGGACACCGTTTTTACCGTGCGGTATCCCCTCGTAAACCGCACGCCGCATTATCCTGCGGGAAGCGGAATTTATTTCGCCGAGTTTCCACGGCGTAAAACTAGCCTGGCCGCGAAGGAGCGATTTTGACTTTTTCCCGTCCGTTCGCAGGCAAGGCGTCGTGCGTACGAATAAGAAGCACTGCCAGACCACAAGACACTGCCGTGAAACGTGCTGGCGCGGTGCCAGGCCTGCCTGCGGTAGCGACGGCATTTTGTACTCCAACACATGCAAAATGCGAGCGAAGAACTGCGGGTAAGCGGGCTAAATCTATGCAACCTGAATTGTGCGGGTCCCTCGCGCAAAAAGTCCCGCGAGATCTCTCGCAACTCTGCCCCCCGTCCTTCTCCTCCCTTCTTCTCCCACCGCCGCTCCCTGTACGCACTCAATCATTTATGAATCGCTTTCCCCGTACTGTTCGTTACAACCCTCCGCGCAACTCCAAGCACACTCGAGCTGCCTCGTTCGCCTCTCAATCATGCTAATCGTCCTCTCCGCTTCCACTCATCCCGGATTTTTGCCGGAATATCCCATGCGCCTTGTTAGAAACGCGAAGCAGTTAGTTGACCTAACGTTTCGCGATATCTGGATTTCCTCCTTAAAGTGGCAACCGATTGGAGAAACTCCTGGACTGAATTTCCTGCACGCAGATTCCTCGCCGCGATTTTCAATCGCGTGAGTATTGTTGCGCTCTAACTTGTCTGCATTTTTCAGCAAACACGTCTTCGAAGTGCCGATGTCGTTCTGCGTGTCTCGCGAACGAACATCCGGAAGCAACGCGTGTCCCTTAGAATGCAAGAACGAGCCGGAAGTGTCGGTGTGCGGATCGGACAGCAATATTTACAGGAACGAATGCGAGATGGAAATGCTAAACTGCGGGTCTGTATTTCATTCACCGCCGCGGATTATAGATACTTAAATCCTATCAATGTCCTTCCTTTAAAAAGTAAAAGTTGAAGCTTCCTCCGTCATGGATCTTGAGCGAAATGTTAATCAACAGGCATGCAAGGAGAAAGATAACGGTAATCGACTTCGAGAAGTGCCGATCCCGGCTAACGAAATGCATGAAGCAACAGCAGAAGTGCGGAAGCGAGGTGGATCCGGTTTGCGGTAGCGACGCGAATACCTATCCGAATCAGTGTCACATGAACGTGGCGGCTTGCTTGTAAGTTGCATACATTTTTCATTAAGAAAAAGAGTCTCGAAATTTATTCAAACCTGTTTCTTGTGCGGCCAATTTATCTCTGAAATATCAAAACACGGCAGCGCTGCAAGCAACCTCGAAAACGTAACTCAACCGCTCTATCGCGATTTCAGCTCTCTAAAATTTCTATACTGTAATCACATAAATTATGACGTCAGAAATGAGAAATTATGTAAATTCTTTCCTCACGATATATGTCGAGATAAATTAGCTTTTTTTTCGCGTGCCATATTTGCGTTTAAAAAAATTTGACACAATTTCTCGCTACTAACGTTATAATTTAATGTGATCAGAAGCCTTAAAATGTTTGATTAATCGATACAACGGATTCATTTTTCTCAATATTTGACGCATTTTAGAAAAGGCATCCAATTGGCACATGTTGGCGAGTGCACGACCTTGAAAGAGACCGAACAGTGCCCCGAAGACTGCGCCGAAGTACCCGAGGAACCAGTTTGTGGAAGCGACGGCAACGTTTATCGGTGATTAACAGCGTTATTCGAATTCCAGAACGTCCGCCGAAGGTTTTAAGGGCGGGTGCGGTCGTTTGTTAAAACGCGACGAAAGACCTCGAGCCTTTTTAATATCTTCTTCCACTCTGCGATCCTCGCAAATCAAAATAAACTGTCCGAGATGTTCGCGCTTAGTCGATTTTGCGAACAACTTTATCGTCGATTTACGATGAAATCCGCGATATTATCATTTTTTTATTACAGAGAATCTAATAATTTTGTTTTTAATATTTGAACAAAATTCAAAAGTGTAAAAATCTTTCGAAATTGGAACGATAAATTGTTCGAAATGTTCGCGCTTGATCGATTTTATCATCGATACGGTGAAATCCGCTATATTATTATTTTCAATCAAATCAAGTCCAATATTTATTGGACAAAAGTGGGAGTCGAGCGTTCGAATAAAATTCAAAGTATAAAATTCTTTCAAGCAATTTTGCGGTTTGCGCTTGAATGCGGAATATTTGACAAAGGCAATCATTAACGGCTGAAGTGTGTTTCATAGTTCGGTGTTCCGCGAATGCGTCATGTGTTTGCGTTTCAGGTCCCTTTGCCATCTGCGGCGTGAGACCTGCGGGCAGAGAGTGGTTCAAGTGCCGGCACAACACTGTCGCACCACCGCGCTCTGCAACCAGATCTGCAGCGGGGAGCGTCAGTTTGTTTGCGGTTCCGACAACAAGCTCTATCGCAATGAGTGCGAGATGAAGAGGGACAATTGCGGGTAAGCCTCCTGACCGCGGAATGTTACAAGTGTTTGCATGTTTGCACGCATCACCTGGCGCTTTCGTCCGATAAATGCGCGATCAGAGATCATAAATTAATCTCGAAAAAATTCTCAAGAGAATGCATTACATCATAAATCGATCTTACCTTCTTCTTGCGGTATCTTATTTTTAAATAACATATAACAGCAAATAAGCAAATAAATAAAATCGTTAGACTAATCGAAGAGACATCGAAAGGAGGAGCAAATCTTTTTATACATCTCGCGATTGTTATATTTAAATTTTTCTTATGCTATTTTTTAGATACTTTTCGCAATTGAATTGAAAACATATCGCGTAATATCGGAAATATAATAATTCTGAAAAGAAGTGAATAGCTTAGCACGACTTACCTTTCGACGAACAGCAGAGACTATGTGAAAACATCCATAAAGTTGGACAACCAGTACGGGCGTAGCGAGCTATTGAACTGCCTTCATCACGTTGTTCTCGTACTTGAAAACCTACGGACATAACAAGCATCGAAACTTTACGATCGCGCAACATACAATGTTTCGAGTACAACGAACAATAAGCAGCTATTTCAAGAGAATGCATCTAAAATTTTTAACTTATAAAATCCAATTAAAATCTCCATAATTGCGAATAAAATTGCAGGATAAAATATACGCTCCAAATTAATTTTCTCTTTGATCATTGCCTCCGTGAAATTCCGTCAGAGAAAGTAATTGAATTGCTTCAGAATAATTTTATCGCGTATTTCGACCTCAAATATAGATATGATTTTCATTCTCATCTCGCACGGTAAAGAAAAAAAAAATTGTTCCGACAAAATTTCATTACTGGAGATAGAAAAGCTAATGATTAAACAATTTCGAACACGATTGTTGCATTTATTCAAAAGCGCCTAGAGAGCGTGGCGCGTCGTGTCGCGAATATTAATTTCGTTGACCGCGATCGTGCTTTTTCTCCACCGATACGGTACTTTCGTAGACTTTCATTACGCCTGATCGCGCGATCGAAATGCGCATCTGAGGACGAGAAGGACGCCTGAAAAACTGGTCCTCGCGCGATCAACGGTTAACGCGTGTTTATCGCGTGTGATGAAAGTCCGTACGCGCACGCCGTTTTACATTACATCTTTTTTACGGAAGTAATAAACCGCTCTTCTATCGGCTCTCTTGCCGCATACTGACGGGATGTTTTCGAGTACCTGTCGTACAAATACGGGAAGAAAGTATCCTACTTCGACATCGCATAATTGAACACAATCGCGCGCAATCTCGAAAGTAGATATTATCGGTGTGCCTTTGCGCGACCTATTTTCCCGAGGAAATCACTTCCTATCTTCGACCGCTTTCTAACGCGCCCGCTTCTAATGCACCTTCACCAAATATAATCAACGGTGAAAAGATCGTAACATCTTTCCTCTCGATCGTGAAAAAAATTGCTCGCTCGGACAATTTTCAGCACAGTCGAAAAAAAAGGAAAAGTATCGCGGCTTCTTTGCCGTCGACTGTACGCTAAATAAAAACTAATGGAAAAGAAATAAAAACGCTGGGAAATAGTTAATGCATAAAATATCGCATGACGTGGGTACTAATTAAAATCCGTTAAACTTGCCGTAATTATTTCTTAACATATGAAGTGGAATAATTTAGCCGCTTAATAATATCCTAACGTCTCGCGAGCGACGAAAAATAAAGAAAAGTAATTTTTATTCCAGGAAACACGTGTACGTCGTGCCTATGAAGCGATGCGTCCAGGGTTTCCTGTTCCGCGGCTGCCAGAAGATCTGCCCGCCTTATTACGATCCCGTGTGCGGCACCGACGGCATGACGTACAGCAACGAGTGCTTCCTGGAGATCGAGAACTGCCGCAGCAGGAGTCTCGTCACGAAGAAGTACCACGGCGTGTGCGGTCAGCCGACGGAGGAGCCGAAGAATTATCTCTACTGAGCACGATCCGAGCTCGCGACACGGTGTGATACGAGAGAGGGAGACGGGAAGGGGAGAGAGCGAAATCGATCGACGAGATAATTCGGCTCGTATCGCCCGGAATCGGGGAAGCGACAATCATTCAGCATTCATCCGACACGAATCTCCAAGTGTTTTCAACCGCTCCGAACGGAATCGGCCGCCAATTCGATGATTTCCGATCGATCGAGTGCTCGCGCTGTCCGTACACGTCTCATTCGTCGCTCTCAAAACGCCATCCCAGACAAGCGTAATGCGATAGAGAATATAATTTTCACGCGAATTCGATTCTGATTCCGACCCGAAACGCGCTGACATTCCGCAGGGAAAAAAAACGCGATCGTGGGAAAACGAGCCTCTTGCCAGTCGCAAACCGCATTGTTATTGTATTGTTACTGCTACTTCTACGATAAATATACTACCGATTACCGATCCTTTCCCGGATAATCGCGCGACCGTAAAATGATCCGCGCAAAATTACGGCAGAATCAATATTGCAAGTCAAAGCTGATCGAGAATTAATCATGCGAAATATTTCACAGAAAATTCATCAATCCTTTTGTTTTTCGGGAAAGGGTCGCCAATCGCGTATCGATATAGTCCTTCCGATATCTTTGCACATACTTGACGGTATAGTCTCATTATTATTTATTATAGCATTAATCATATACGATGCGATTTCATGTTTTTTTTTTTTCCTCCACAGCTGCGCCCGTCGTTCTTATTACGGCTATTAATGTATCAACGCGATGTTTGCCAGAGCGTATTCTTATTCTAGGGGAATGTTGTGCTACTATTATCTCCTTCCGATAAGCGATGTGATGTGTGTTCATTTATTTTATTACTATTATTATATTATCATTGCAATCTTAATTTATTATCGAAGTATGCGAGATTCCTTTTTTTCTGTATCGACACTAACACTGTATACGCTTCCAAACGTCAATAATAAATCATATATGTATATTTTAAGATATAAAAGAAATCTGCGTGAATTATACGCATAACAATATCGAGAAAAATGATGCACGTTATTTATTTTCACGTAAGATTTATATTCCAATAATCCAGACACGTCCCGACATATTCGACCACGTATTAACAGAACAGTAATTATTGAATATCTATAAATGTAAAACCCGGAAATAACATTTTAAAAAGTTAAAGAATTCAGTTTTTGTAGATAAAACAATATAAAGTGCATGATATTTAATTACACAATAATTAATACGCACAATACAAATAATAATTAAATTAAATTAAATCCATTGCAAATATTTGATTATCAATTAATGGGGCTAGCGCGCTAGCCTAGTAAAAAGGGGATAAATATTTGGACCTCAACACAACGTCGTCGTAAGATCGCTCCGCGTCTGTCGTGTATTTTGCTTTTCAAATCGAATCGATGTGTGAACAAGCATCGGGATTTAAAGCCGAAGAAGCGCTCAAGACCGCAGCGCTGCTGTTGCAACAGTTGGTAAATAGCATTGTTCTTTATTATTTGCATAAGATTATATAGTACATAATATATTTAAGATTAAATCAGGTCATATATTTGTTCATATTAATTATTCTATTATCAGATTTCTGAATCTTAAAAATAGATATAAAGTAAATATCTCATATTCAGTAGCCAGACATTTAAAAAGTAATCATTGTTAAAATCATAATGTTTTCTAAAATATTTTTCTCATTTTTTTCTATACATACTAATTAGAGTTTACAGAAATAAATATAAAATGACGATTATTAATTGATAATCAATTAAATATTTGCAACAAATTTAATTTAATTATTATTTTTATTGTGCAAATTAATTATTGTGTAATTAAATATCATGTACTTTTCATTCTTTTGACTACAAACTTAACTTATTAACTTTTTAAAATATTATTTCCGGGTTTTATATTTATAGATATTAAATAAGTATTGTTACTCACCAGAACTTTCCACAGCAAAACTTCCGCAACAAAACTCCCGTAGAACTTCTCGCGTCTGAAAAACCGATAAATTTCATTTTAAAATCTTGATGATTTTTACAGCTAACAAATTACGTTAAAGTCATTGTCTTAATTGAAATTGAGAATAATTTAAATTGCATATTAAATATTGCGTACTTAATAACGTATAAAAATATAACTTAAAATCATATTATTTCGAAAAATATAAAATCTAAAATTATTTACATAATTTATAAATATGTAATCTATACATATAATTTAGAATCTTAAAAATCTGTAATATAATCTATAAAATAAAATATTCTGAATAGAAACGCAAGACAAAATTCAAAAATTTCACGTAACCTTGCACGTAACCTTGTAGTTTGTAGCAATGTTTGTCATAATACTTATTACAATTTTACCATATATTTCAAAAGCATCATAAAACTTACCAATACCAATTGTAAATATCAATCGCTGATATATCGATAAAATATCAATCGACTTGTTAAATGCAAGGTAATATCATTCTGAAAACAAAATAAAATAATAATAACGGTCAACTGACATAAACTAATAGAGCACGAAATAAAGCATAGGACAAGATAATGAACTAACCGAATAAAGTATTTGCACTGCGTTTGCGCAAAAGTATTTGCAGCTGACCTACGATATCCAATAAAAAAATTTATTGCCTAGAATTATTTTTCTATTAAAGATTGGACGCAGTGCGAATCATGTAATTCGTAGCATTTTCAGGCCAATTGCTGCCAACTTGAAAACCGCTCAATGACGAGGTGTGCACATCTCGCATGAATATAGTCCATGCCTTATGGATTTCTGAAATTGTCCGTGTGGTTTACGTAGGCACGGACTGGCACGTATTTTCGTGAAATTTCAACTGCAATCATGTCCGCAGGTATGTTCTCGTTCGGTGTAACAGTGCGTCCTGAGGAATAATTTTTTTTAGAGAGTATAAGTGACCCCGGGAACGCCGTCCGCGTCAAAATTCATCCTCCACACGCTCACACCTAACCAAACTGCACGCGACGTGCTCACCATGCTTTCGATGTTGCGCCAGCTCTGTAACGATATGCTCTAATGACGTCCATGTGTGTTTAGCAGGTAAAAAGGGTAAGAAGAAGAAGGGAGTTACCGTTGATTTGATGACATTCCTTGGCGATGATCGAAATGGACCGACTCCCAATATGCCTATGAAATCGTCCAGTTGGGCCGATGATGTAGAGGACGATCATGGTGAGTTGAGAGAATTGTCCTTGGATTCGGCAATTCAGCTTAGAATTGATGCTTAATTTTAATGCAAATTTGTTGTTATTTCTTGAAAAAATAAGTAGCCATGTCTTTGGACTGATTAAGTATATTTCTGTATCAGCATCAAGAATGCAATGTGTATATTAAGCTGTGAACATTGCAAGTGCAAGTCTATGCAAATCTAAAATACAATAACAATTATTTCATTATTTTGCAATTAATAATAAAGAATATCTGAGTGTTATACTTCTAATGATAATAAGTTTATACTAATATCATTAAAATAAAAATTATTTGAATTTGTATCATACCAATTTTTTCAACATTGCAGAAGGATATTCATCAAGAAGTAACAAAGATCCAGTTATTCTACCAACAGCTCCTAGAGCTGCACGAGGACCAGGAATTGACGAAGAAAATATTCCTTCAAGTCCTCCTTATGTAGCCTACATAAGCAATTTGCCCTATGATGTGGATGAAGCTGATCTGGCAGACTTCTTCGCAGAAATGAAGGTGCTGCAAATATTTTTATCATAACACAATATTTTGTTATAAATTATAATTGTACAATTTGATAATTTTAAAAAATATGGAAATTTATTCTGCTGTTTATAAATTTATAAGTCATAAATTAATTTTTACAGATTTCAAATATGCGTTTGCCGAAAGACGCGAATAAGATTAGAGGATACGGATATGTTGAGTTCGAGGATCGCCAGAGTCTAATTGATGCTCTTTCTATGACAAATACAGTAAGCAACCGATACTTTGCGATCTTTAATAGCGAACACAAATTAGAATGAAGAAAAATAATTTGCTACATCTTTCTAGACCATTAAAACGAGGCGAGTGAGAATTGAAGTCTCAAATAGCAGTAATGATGATCGTCGCGGCGGCAGAATGGGTAGAGACAATCGTAGGGACAATTACGATGATCCGGAACGCACGTCCGGCGATTGGAGGAGCGGGCCGCGCGAAGAATTACCCGAAGGTGATTCCTATCGTAGTCGATACGATAGAGACCGATTCGACAATAGAGATCGCCGAGATGACAGAGAAAGTATGTACATTTTTTCTGAGTTTTACGCGCTCAACATTTAAAATAAACTAAGAATGATTAAAAAAAAAAAACCATTTTTCTGCGGAATAGGATATGATTACGATAACAAGCCTGGTGCCTGGCGCGAGAGAGACAGCAACGACAAAGGAACAACGTTCAAGGAAAGGAGCGGCTTCAGAGACGATAGCAGAGAGAGGGAGTGGAGTCGCTTCGGCGACAGAGGAAGGAGCAAAGAGAGAGACGGGGACAGAGGCAGCAGTTTCGGATCCCGTCGCAATTACGGTGATTCTTCTGATTGGGAGCGAGGTCGTCGGCAAGATCAAGACTCCAAACGTGAGTGTACAATTAGCCACCGCGCGCGCGCGCGCGATAAGATACGCGTTTATAACATCGTAAAAATCGTTGAACCAATTCTTATCTTTATTCAATTGTAATTATTCAGCGACCGAGGCGCGACAAAGACCAAAACTGCAACTGCAGCCCCGCACGAAACCCGTGGAGCCTATTGTCGTCGCTGATGACGCGCCAGCTAAGGAAGACTCGGCAGACTCGAAATCGCCATCACGATCGGATTCGGCTCAACGCGCCCCGGAACGCGCCCCGGAACGCGCTCCGGAACGCGCCCCGGAAGCGCCCCGGAACGCGCCCCAGAACGCGCCCCGGAACGCGCCTCCGTGCCTGCGACCAACATCTTCGGAGCTGCAAAGCCGGTCGACACGACTGTACGTGAACGGGAGATAGAGGAGCGTCTCGCGAAGTCGTATGCCGAATCGCGTTCCCGGGAAGAAACTGGGTACGTATAACATCAGCGCAATTCATGAAGCCAAGTCATTGCAATTTAATTCTCTGCAATCGATATTTTGCGTCGAAAACTAACGTCATATTTTCAGAAAAAATACCATTACACTCACAAATAACACAACATTCTCTCTTTCTGGGTCGTTTCAATCAACGTGACTTAAGAAATTTAACGCTAGTTAAATTAACCTAATTATAGTGGATAAAGTTTCGAAAAGCCCACACCTCCGATTTGCCTCCAAACTACGCTTTTTATTGTACTTTTGCGCGCTGATTACGAATATGACTATGCCGATTGGCGACAAGGTTATTTTCAAAGTCAAAACTACTTGAAAAAACTCGAAAAATATCGCTCATTTTAACATTATCTTGATAAATATTGATGTAACAAAGAAATGTTTCAAATAAAAGTTTTAGCTCTTGAAAAAATACATCATTTATGTCCTATACATTTTTTTTTTGCATAAAACCAATATTTTTCGATAAAAATGAGATAATGCGTTGTAAAGTGTATGCGTGGATTCAGTGGGTTCTGCCCCCTCCCTCCCCCCTCGGAGGGGCATCCGCGCATACACTTTCCACGCGAAGCAAGGTTCCAACCCAAACCCATGTGTATTGGTAGAAACCAATGAGCATTACTTTTAAACTCAGCTTTAACTGAGGGTTTGCTAAACTGCCGATTAGGTAAAGTTGGTAGAAACGGGTCTCTGTGTTCACTAAACATTCTGATTCTCTTTCAGGGACAGAGACAACAAAGAACGCAGAGATGGCACTTGGGGTCGCCGCAACGGGGTAAATGTTACGCAATGTTAAAATGAAATGCAAATAATGCTTTTGAAATTATACCTCTAACGTGAACCATTTCCACGTGCAGGAAGGACGCGAGGACAAAGATAAAGAAAGGAGCCGCCCGACTTGGCGGTCGGAAGAGGACAGAGGTGCTCGACTCGAAAGGTCCGCGCCGCGATCTCAACGCTCTGGTAGATTTTCACAAGCTTTTATCAAATCCCTGTTTACGCGCAGTTAACTTTGAAAGACTCTAATAAACAATATATATTCACAGAAGAACAAAATGGATCCAAAGCATCACCAGCTTCACGCGGACCACCGGCACCCAAAGGATCGCAGAAATCCTCTGACAAAGATGTCCGTACTGCTCCGGAAAGGTATTAATGGGAAAAGATGGATATTTTTGTGTTGAGGTATATTCGACCTTATGCTTATTTTTCCTTCGTTATTTATTCGCAGGGACCGCAAAGATAAAGAGAAGGATGAAATTAGTAGGATGCCGAAAGCAAAGGACGAACAAGCTCCAGTGAGTAAAATGAATTGTTGTAGAAAATTATCGATAAACCAAGAGACAACGTTTAAAATTTCTTTCACAGAATTTTGTAGCTTCCAACAAGTACTCCATGCTACCTGACGATGTGGATCCGGACAATATCGACGAATAGTCCTAATTTGATTATAAATTTACATCACCGATTAAATTGTGCCACACCGCAACACACATGCATATTATTATTTGTTTTACCTCTACTAAATATTGCATGGTTTCGTCATCAAACCAAGTTTATGCCCTTGGTATACTGATCTACTGGAATTCTTGTTGATTTGTATTTAATCTCTATTTTAATATCCTCAATATAACTATCTATGTATACTCTTATGTACTTTATTTTCCGGTGAAACGACATACGAAATATTTCGACATCATTAAATTGCAAGTTCCCCTACGATTTCGGAACGAACGACTGTATTGATCATTTTGTATTTGATTCCGAGGATAATTATATTCTAGAGGTACGAAGAAATCTAGGAATTGGAACTTTATACATCATACTTAATTTGCTGTACAGTGATTGTACGATATGTGACTCGTTTACATGTAATATAACAATGCCAATATAGAAGGAAAATGATTAAAGTAATAAGTATACGGGAACACAAAATACGCGTTGTTTTTTCAGAATTCCCATCTTTCCCTGCATATATAAGCGTTATGCATTCAGAAAAATTATCAAAAAATATATAAAAAACATACCATAAATATTATATAGATATGTAGAAGGAAAAAAAAACAAAAAATATATAATATATAAATAAATTGTCTCTAATAAATATTCATGTCAAGAATTTTGTCTAATACTAATATATAAAAATTACTATATTTACAGAAGTTTTCAAATACATATGTTACATTATTGATTTAATTTTTTCCTTCTACATTCTCTACTGCTGCTGAGTAGTCTGTGCCAATTGACGCAACTGCTTTAGCACAGTCTCGAGCAGTTTCTTTTTATCTCTTTCACTTTTCTTTAATACAGAAAACACTGTTTTCTTGTCGGATTCTTTCAACCTGTAAGAATGTTAAACGATTAAAACAAAACATATTAATACAGAATACACAATACATACTTTTCCAGCAGCAAAACAGCCATGTTCGGAGTTACTAAGTTATATTTGCTAGATTCATGACCGTAATCATGAAAATAGGTAGGCCAGTCCCAGCTCATGAATAGATCTAATAATTGTCTTAATTGCGAAAAGTATTGCAATAATATTCCTTCTGGCAGGCCAACGACTGGCTCGGAAGCAGCAAACTCTGAAAGTTACAATAAAGCTTCAACTTTCTTATCTACAAAAAATATGATAAAACGTTTCAAAAGAATGTAGAAATTTACGTTCACACTGTATGGTGTCTAAGTTAACTTGCTGCAGAGCACCCATGGATATCTGCTTCACATCTTCGCTGATTAATATGCCTAATATGGCTTTCGCAATGTGAGAACATGCAGACTTACATGCTACTTGAGCTACTTCATCCTGAAATATGAATTATAGATTATCTCTCATAGATTATATCTCATATATTGTAGAATCATTACATTGTAATATTATAATTTACAGGTAGGTTAGTGAAGCATGTAAAGGTGCTCTGCAAGAAGGCTATGAGATCTGTGATGAATCCTGAAGCGTGTCCTTGCGGCTCTGCCAAGTTCCAATCATAATTCTCCAACTCTAAAAATTCATCCAGCTTATTCTTCAGTTTATCGCAAATCTGCTTCTCGGCGTCGTCCCGTGCAACTCGAAACATGGCGGATTCAACACTCATACAGCTTAACTGTCCTTGATGTGGCGTGCTAAAGAATCTTTGTATTACATAATGATCCATAAAACAAAAGAAAGTGGCAATTCATTAGATTCTTACCCAGTAATGTTAGTCACAAATTCTTCCAAATATTTTGTGGATTTCTCGAGATATCCCGTGTTTATGATAATTTGCACTACTTGCAAAAGCGCTAACGATGGCTTGCGAAACAACGATGACAAACACCCACTGAAAGTTCTTGTCAACAAAAGATTTGTTGATTTACATATCATCTCGTCGATTTCCGTCTGCGTGAAGTTCAAATCTTCTGAAAATTTTAGGCAAGCGTAAATAAACTCTTTCACTTGCTGATAAACCTTCGGCACCATGTTTGAAAATGGAAAATTTCTTAGGAAACTCAGCTTTCTGCAATTCCTCGTCATGATAAGGAAATAGGTTAAGAATTTCGTCGTATTCTGCTTGCGTTGTGACCTGAAACAAACAACGAATCAGAAAAAGCCAAATATTTCCGTATAAGTGCGAATAATAACAATTACCTGGATTGGAAGAAAACTATCTTCGTCTAAGATATCTCTAAACACTTGAACCCAGTGCTGCATCAGCACTTCGTTGTAATGTACTCTGATTTCTTGTAGCAGATCCCAAAGCTGTCCTATAGAGTAGCCGTAATTCTGTTTACAAGAAACTTTCCTTGAGATACATACGCGTGTGTAAACATAATCAATAACAAGACGATATATTTTACTTACCCTCAGAGTAGTGTTGAATAGCATGATAAGATTCTTAATTTTTAATATAAGTGTAGCGTCTGTGCAATATGCCTAAAATATAAACATAAATTAAAAAGATATTTAATTAAATACAAATGTCTATTCTTTTATTGAAATGCAGTGGTTTTCAGAGTACTAATTTACCGAATGCGTGCGTAAAGCATTGACTATAGTGGATAACGCCATGGCCCAAAGCTCGTCCAAGTACGCACGAGTGGCTAGTCCGTTACCGGTATTTAATATGTGATCCTCCACCACGAAGAAACCGATGATACCGTGTAAGTAAGTCTGATAACCGACTATACTCTCGTGCTGAAAATAAAACAATATATTTTGTTAAATATCTGTTAAATATCCAACACATAGATCATGTAAGCATAGCAGTATTCAACAGATGGATTTACCATGTTAATGGGCGGTTGTAAAACTAGCCTGGCTTGTTGCTTTCTTTGTTGTCTATAATAATTCTTAAAAGTTTCTCCTTCACGAAGCACAGTGTAGATATGCATACATCGATACACCGGACTGAAGTCCATTAAATCTTGAGCACTCAGTTCTTCTTCCCCCTCATTCGAATGATTGTTCGTGTAAGATTTTTTTTTCTTCCTGCCGACGATTTCTGCTTCAGTTGCTAACTGTTCAGCAGTCTGAATATGTAATTAAAAAGAGATTAGATCACATAAAGATAATAGTATTAATTATTAAAAGGCTAAAAATTGTACCTACATGCCTCATCGCGACTTCTCCAATCTTTGGCGAATACTTTCTGATATTTTCCAAGAAATCTCGTAAGTCAGACATAGAGGCATCCTTTATATTTTCTCGCAACCTGAAATAAGAAAAACAATGCATTAGTACTTTTTGCAAAGTATTTATCACATATAACAAAATAAAAAAAATGTTCTCATTAAACTTACTGTGGAATCTGCTGCGTGATTTGAGATGAAAACCTGTAATTTGTCACTTTTGGCAGATCGTGATGCTCCAACTGTTCCAGTGTCTTCAATGCTGGATAATAACGCTTATCCTTTAATTGTTTTTGCAACTTTGCATAAGCAGCTAAGACGGGAAGGCACATAGTAAGACTGTCTACAGCAGCAGCCATATTGCTCTCGACTTTGCGAGCTTTCACAAGTTCCTCACCCTTCTCGATCACTTTAGTAGATGTGGCGGTAATGCATTTATCAAGCTCCAATATTTCTGCCTGTATTTATGTTCAAATTGTATAGTATTAAAATTGCATAACATGATATTATAAAATCAAATATCATTAATTTGATATAAAACTAACATTTAATTGCTGTGCTTGTGAGCGAACTTGTAAGAGTTCTCGAATGGAATCGATAAATCCCTGATAATGATGATTGCACATCCTCTCGATATCTTTGTCATGAGCCTTAATACGATCGTCGAGCTTCTCCATAAACTTCTGATGTTCGTGGCCATCGTAAATTGCTCTGAAAACATAAATTGAATAACAGTTTCTGTTTTCTCTTACTCATGTGAGTGTTCTGATCACATGGCACTATTTCCACTTTAAATACCTAAAAACAAGACCTATGCTATTAGTATCAGTAGACTCTATTTCATAAAGCAGATATTCATGCTTCGGCACCATAGATGATAGGAGACTTTGCGGTGTGTTAATTGACATCCTTGACATATTACTACCCTGTTAGAAATTCGTCCGAAATACAAGTTATGTGCGTGCACGTCTATTGCTACCCTTCTTTAAAGCCACCCCCTCGAATGCGCATATGCGAACTCGAGCTCGTCGCATCTGCGTGAAGGGGTGGTTTTGCCGGGGGCGCGTACTTCGATCTGTTTTTCCACCCTTCGTGCGTAAATTTTCTTACCGAAACGTCGGGCCCAGATAATCGTCGATGCCCTCGATCTCCTGAATCAAAATGTCGTATCGCTGCATCGTCGCCAAGGCCGAAAATCAGCCGCACCGAGAACTCCGAAACTGTCAAAAAAGTTTGACACATCGATTACGAGTCCCTTGGATCACGATTAAATTGTGGATTTCTCATTTATTACTGTAATTATTCTTAGCATAATTTTATTTCAATTTCACCCTTGTCCACATTCCTTTGATTACAAGCGCTATTTTTAAGTGACTTACATTAAATTATTGTTGATTATTGCGATAGCATCGCCCACAATTTGCATGAACCGCTATCATCGCCATATTTTCCATAGAATACGAAGCTACATAGTAAGGACATCGACTATCGATCTAGTAAAGTCAAGAATGTAATCTCTTGTGGGGACAGTTCAGTTTATGCATTTGTCAGCACTGTAAATGGTGAATTGCGAGCTTCGTGGAAGACCGCGAAAAGAACACGTTTTGCCGGGCTTTTGATGCATTCATTGCACCGGTGCATGCCTGCGTGCATGCTTTCTATCTGTATTTTCTATAAGTGATATCGTCTGAAATTCATATCGTTAGATTGTGTCAAAGGAAAAAATGCCGAAGGTAAACACGATACTTAATTATTTCACGTCTCCGAAGACTGTCAAGACACCGGAGGCGAAAAATGTGGAGAGGGGAAAATCACAAACTCCTAAGAGAGAACAAAAGAAGAAAGGTTCGTTCCGAAATCCTGGCAAAAATATGTTACAAATTACGCTAAACGACACGTATCGAGATAAAATAAATCATGGTCTCGGACGTGATATCATTTCTCAGCATTATGTGTATAAAATGGCAAAGTCTCTTATTTATTTACATACGGCTATATGCAGTCATATAACTCTTGACAATAATCTTAAATTTATGTACATAGATATTATAATTAATAAAAGTTTTGCCTTTTATAAAAATTACGCACTCTGTACTTAATATAATTAATATTCTTGTGACTACAATATATGTTATGGTTATGTACAGAGTTTGTCAAAACTAAAGGAAAAGAGAATAAAAAAAATGATGATAGAAAAAGATCATACAAAAAAGATGAAGAGCATGAGGAAGAGGATGAACCTGCAAAGCCCATAAAAAGGAGACGTCTTATTATTCCTGATGTCGATTCTGGTGAAGATTCTGGAGATGATTTTAAGCCAGGTTTGTGAATCACACGAGTAGTAAAAACTTTGAGTTATTATAATCTCACATTAAAAAGACAAGTCACTGCAAAAGATAATTTATATATAAAATATTTTTTAATTATAGGTTCTGAGCCTTCAGAATCTGAATCAGAATCTGAGGGAGACACAGAACATGATTCTTCCTCAGAAACAGAGGAGGAAACACCGGAGGTAAAAATAATTAATCTTAAACTATCTGAAATCTTAACATTGTTACAAAGGAAATCACATTTAATATAATTATTCTTTCAGAAAAAAAGAAAAATTTCTAACGTCAGGTCCAAGCCAGGCCCAAAAAATCGTTCGCAAACCAATGGAAAGGCAGTAAGCATATAATTATTTACAAAACTGATTTCCTTGTAAGTATTCCTATGTGATTAATGCATTTGATATTTTTATAGAACACAAAAGAGTCTAAGCAACCTGTGCAAACTCAGAATCAATCTACAAGCAACGGACTTCCTGCTACACATACCTGGCCTCACTTAAAATTTGATTTTCTTCAACCAGGAAAAATAAAAGATATTTGCAGGAGAACGTCAAAGGATCCAGATTACGATCCAAGGACTCTCTACGTACCTGTTGACTTTTTGAATAATCAAACTCCTGTAAGGATCCTTATCTTGCTTTATCTTGTGTCTCCATTGACAATTAATCATTTCAAATTTATTTAGGCAATGAGGCAATGGTGGGAGTTGA